CATAAAATAAAAATAAATAAAATTTTACAAAAGATTTGCAAAGAAGTTTTACAAGGTGGGAGAACTCTATTTCATTTTGACCTTGTGCTGGGGAGGTCAGAAAGAAGGTAGAAAATCCCCTGGAACTAGAATTACAGGCTGGCTGTCTGTAAGTAGAATTCTGGCGGTCTCAGAATTCACTCTATAGACTAGGCTGGCCTTTTACTCACAAAGATCCACCTGCCTCTGCGTCCTGAGTGCTGAGACCAAAGGCCTGCACCACTATACCCAGCCCCAATAGCTTCTCAAACTGTTAAATGGAAATGACCCACACTGCTACAATCCAGCAGTTTTTCTCTAGTATTTTTCCAAGAGAATGGAAACATTGGTAGAAATCAAGACGTGCTCAGAAGAGTTTACATCAGACAAACCAGGACACAAGGGACAACCATTCTATTCCCTCACCCATAGGGGCAAACACCTTGGCAATAAGATGAGCAGGACCTGCCACCTGTGACATCGGGTGGACCTGGGGACCCTGCTCTGTTAGGTGGCAGAATCCAGGCTGCAGGACACACACTGGGTGCCTCTTCTAAGATTCAGCTCTCTAAGCAGGCTGGACTAACCTAAAGCATAGAAGTCCCTGCTAGCTGGCATGTGGGAGGACACTTGGGAAGGGGATAGGTTTCTTCCAGGGTCATGCAAATACTTAACTGATTTTGACAGGTGACACAAAGACTCTGGCCTTGTCACACCACATCTGAAGGCACTTCTGAAATGGGCTCATTTTATTGTGTGTAACTTTTGAATTATGAAGTTGGTTTAAAAGATAGTAAGAATCATGACCTTCTATTGCACAATACAGATGAAAGTGAGGCAAGAATAGCACACTGTATCTGCTCTTCACACAGCAGAGCCTCGTCAGTGCAGATGATGCTCTGAAGGACTCAGCAGCCATTGCTGAGCTCCCCTCCCCTGAGGTCAGGACATGCAGAGTACACCAATCAGCCCGTGGCAGATTCAGAACAGCCCTGGCATGAGTGCAGAGTCACCTGCAGTGATCCCGGATCCCCAGCTCCAAGGACACAGACAATGGCTTTTGTCTTCCTGAACACAGAGAGAACATGAGAGCAACTGCTGTTGTTCAGGCCCAAGCATTCAGTACCCAAAATGAAAAGATAGGTATCCATGACCTAGAAAAATTAAGTAAGTAAATACCAGAAACCTCTACAGATTCATTCAGGAGGAAAGGTGTAGCTGCTCCCTGAACTCCAAGCTTTACATGGACACACTTTAAAAGTTTCCATAGGGGAAAATCCCACCACCACTCCTCTCTTGGGAGGAGGAGCTCTATTCCCTCCCCTGTATGGACAAGCAGAAAGAGACATGTCTTAGAGGTACACAGTTTGGCATTCCCACCACAATTAGGAATGAGACTAGGTGAGCACATGTCTCATTTAACATCTTGTGGGAGGCCCACACACACAATAACCGGAAACAAAGAGGCAGGCTGTTTCCACTGCAGACCACAGCTCTGCTAAACCCAAGGCAAGGGACCAAGAAAACACCACAAGAATTCATTCCTGAAGGAACAAAACAGAAACATAAAAATAAATAAATAAAATTGAGAACTCAGTATTCCTTAGGGAGACAAGAGTCAGACAGCAGTGAAAAGTAGCTGAAGGCTCCAGAGCTGAGGCCTCTCCTGTGAACCACAGTTAACTTTACTCTAAGTCCATATAAAAATGAAGACATAAAAAGGAAGAGTCAGGAGAGCCCTGGAACTGTTAGCAATGTCAGGGGTGTGGGGCTCTCCCCAGCACATGTTAAAACCTCCAAGAAGTGGTAGAGTGCTTCCCTAGTATGTACAAAGTCCTGGGTCTAATTGCCATCAACTAATACAAAAATAAAACAAACAAACAAAACTACCACATAACATTAAAAAGGGGCTGGAACAATGGATGGCTCGGCATTTATGAGTATTTGCTATTCATGCAGAGGACCAGGCAGGATTTGGTGCCCAGCACCCTATGGCAGCTTGCAATACCACCTGTAACTCCACCTACAGGAGGTCCCACAACTTGTTCTGGCCTCCTTGGGCTCCTACATACACATGGCACACGTACAGACACAGGTAGGCAAACTCATACACATAAAAGAAATGAGACTTACACACACACACACAAACACACACACACAAACACACACACACACTGAAGAGTTCAGACCTAATAGTGTGGCATTAAAAGGAAATCAAAGGGGAAGATGCTAGAAGATCAACAACACACCCACACTGAGAAAGGAGTTTAAGTAACACAGTGCTTCCAGCTAGAGCAACACCAGCCCTGCTGAGGATCCTTGTGTTGACCTGGTGCAGTGTAGGGCAAACCCCAAGTAAACCAGCAGCCAGAAATAAAACATGAAGTCATGCAAGTATATGAAGAGAAAAGTGTGTGGTTGCTTTATGATTTGGGTATGGGAAAGCCTTTCAAAATATTGTTCAAAATTCCATGTAGATAAATACAGGCAATGTCAAAGTGGCAAATCAGGAAGAAACTGTAAGCATTTTGACTGCTCAGATGGGATGGACAGGGACTCTGGCACTAGGGAGCCAGAATGCTGAGTGTAACAGCTCAAATGGAAAGGTATTCTGGCACTCGGGAGCCAAGGAATACCACAGATCACAATACACACAGCAGCTTACAGCCTTGCTTCAGGGAAAGGCTTCTCCAGTGTATCATCTTTGCTCTGGCAGGAGAGGGTTTCCCTGCGAAGTTGTTACAGCTCGGTTCCAGTCCCCAGGGGGAGTGGAGAGTGTAGCATATCCACTCTGCCAGGGGAAGTTTCCCCAGCTGAAGTGTTACAGCCCTCTAGGTTCTGCTCTGCCCAGGATTGTCTCTGCTCTGCTGCAAAAGATCTTCACCTAAGCCTCATTGAAGAGATGTATTGGGAAAGAAGAATCCAGGAGAGGGGCTGCCCTCTGCTAGGGTGGCAGAGGACAGACAGCAAGGGAGGCCAAACAGCCACAAGCTGAACACACTGGGTTTATATATGGCTTATTGGGGGGGGGGGTAGAGTTTTCCCAGGGAGATTTCCAGGGTGGGGATTGGTCAGATTTCAATCCTTGGGCTCAGACTGGCTAGATCTTGTGCTCATGGATTGGTTGGTTTTCTGCACAGGTTTAGGGTCAGATTTGGTTCTGGTTTCAGGGCCAAAGTGTGTTTCTTTCACTGGTCCTTTTTAGCCTTTTGGTGTAGTGAGATAGTTCTGTGGCACTGACCACGCCCATTGGGGGTGGAGCCATGGGCGGAGTGACCTGTGGAAGGAGGTCGGAGGGGGCCAGGAAAGGCGCTCTCTTTCTGGCGTGACTGGCGTGACTTGGACAGGAGAGGATCGGGTTGAATTTCCTGGTGTTCATCTGTCTAGGTTGTAAGTTATTTCTCCCTGAATAAACATCTATTCGGCCTATTTGTTTATCCTGATCCTTATTTAACCGCGTTATTTTGGCTCTAATTTTAGGACCAAGGTGTACTTTTTTTGCGTTGGCTTTGATTCCAGGGACGAAGTGTGTTTCTTTGACACTGTTTTCAGGGTCATGGTGTAATTCTTTGGTTCTAGTTGCAGGCCAAAGTGTGTTTCTTTGGCTCTGCTAGGGTGTGTTTCTTTAGTTGCCCCCTTTTCCTTACAGAAACACCTGTAAGTTTTAATACAGACTAATGCACTTCCTATGAAGAGCCAAGAAGTGGAGAAGAAAAAGCAAAGAGTAGGACAAGTGCCAGGCACTGGCCACTCTTTGGAAATTGATGCTAGCTGGTGTGCTCCATGTACAAGTAAATGCATGCAGACATGACCCTTGAATGGGACAAATGCAAACCAGCTATCTATCACTTGTTCTCAGTCCTCAACCATCAGGAAACACCAAAAGTCAGCTATAAAGATTCAAAAAGTCATCTAGGCAGCAGTGGACACCAACCAAAGTGGCTGGCTGGGTCCATCAGGACTGCTGGCAGCCAAAGTCAGATTATTCCCTTAATCCAGCCCAAGAGACTCTACTGTAAGAGCAGGGAGCATTCTCTGTAGCCTCTAGATCAGGAACAACTCAGCAGGAAGTGCAGCTTTGAACCAGCACCTCAGAAGATCCCAAACTGCCTTCTGTAGTTCTTTGAGACACAACAGGCAGACACAAATATGTGAATGGCTAAATTGTCTACCAACTACAGAAGGAATAAATATATTGTAGCATTCACTACTATACAACACTTAGACAAGATGGCTTGACTAGTAAACACACTTGCTACCAAACCTAAGGATTTCCCTTTCCTAATATGTATGTATACACACACACACACACACACACACACACACACACACATTCTTTTGAGAAAAGGCCTCTTTACCTAGCCCTGGCTGTCCTGGAACTCACAGATGTCTGCTTGAACCACTATGCCCAACCCCAGCTATCTTTTTTGAAAAGCCTTACCAATCTGAAACAAGGGGGGGGGATACAACTTACTTAACAAGTAGTTATCAAAGATATATTTTTATTTTGTTTTTGTTTTTGAAGACCTGTTTCTCTGTTTAACAGTCCTAGCTGTCATGGAACTCTTTGTAGAGCAGGCTGGCCTCGCATTCAGAGATCTGCCTGCCTCTGCCTCTGAGTGCTGGGATTAAAGGTGTGTGCCACCACCGCCCTGCCAAAGGCACAATTTTATTTTAATACTAGTGAGAAATATTGTCGTGTGTTTCAGTAGGGAACTGGTTCTAAGATTCGGATATATCTTATTTTGATATTTTACACAGCAGGGGATGACCTAGACCAAGTTGACCTTGAACTCCGATCTCCCAAATTACCACCTTCCAAAAACTGGGGTTAAAATTCTGTGTCAACACACATCTGGTTCTGGAATCTTGAATTCTAATTGCCACGCCCCATCAGTTTTCCTTTTGCCACGCCCCTCTACCCGAACTTCATTTCCCAACATTCTCCTAACGCCTCTAAATTAGCGGTCATTGTGACGTCATCCCACAGCCCTTAGGGAAATGTAGTTTGTTCTTTTTCCAGTTCGGGGAAGATCTGGGGCCGTGGACTACCACTCCCGTGAGGTAGTGCGCAGTCCCACCCCATAAGCGGCGTCTTCGAACGCGCCGCGGCAGCCATGTTGATCGTGGCTAGCACAGGGGCCGGCACCAGGGGATTATAGAAGCAGGTGTCATGATGTTGTCCGCGGTGTTGAGGAGAACCGCTCCGGCGCCGCGGCTCTTCCTAGGGTTACTCAAGTCTCCCTCGCTCCAAAGCCGGGGAAGTGCTTACGGCTGGAGCGTAACCATCGGAGACCGTGGAGAGCCGCAGCGGCTGAGAGTTGCCGCCTGGGTGCGCCCTGGAGCATCTTCTACCTTGTTCCCTGGACGGGGGGCAGCCACCGGGGGGCGCCGTGGAGAACGCACCGAGATCTCATGCCTGGCAGCCGCCTGGTGGGGACGCGGCCCTAGCCCCGAAGAAACATTCCCCGGACAGGACAGCTGGAATGGGGTCCCCAACAAGGCAGGACTGGGCATGTGGGCCTTGGCCACGGCGCTGGTGGTTCATTGCTACAACAAGAGTCCTTCTAACAAGGGTGAGTATGGGGCCAGTCTGGGTTCAAGGGAGAGGTGTGGGGAGTAGGTCCTGACTACTTTGAAGGCGTGAAGGTGTTTGTAAATTTAGGCCCCCATAACCTTACCCTTGGAGACACCCTCATACCGTCTGCTGCCGGGGCAACATGTTGACCTAAAAGCTTACCGCTTGGCGTTACATAATTTCTCATTGAAGGTCTAGTCCCCTATTCGGGCATCAGTTTGTGTATCTGTATAATGGGGACATTGGAGTGAATCTAATTACAGCCTGGTGCTTTCATATTACCAGTATTATATCAGACCCATTAGTCTTTGAAGAGGTCTCCAGAAAGCTTTAGGGACATGTTTGCCTGCATTAAAGGTCCGAGGAAGGACACTTGGTTCTGGTGCCAGCTTGACCCCCCACGCTCCTCTCTAGTCTTAGTTAACCCACTGTATAGTGAAGGCAGTTTTCTCAGTACTCTGTTAAGACTGGCCTTTTGACCTCTCGGAGTTGAGAGTGTGTTCAGAAGTTCCTTAGTGTTTGCTATGCTTAGTGTCATGCTGGACATTATGGGGGGGTGGAGCCTGGGGGCACGGGGAGTTGGCAGAAGGAAGGTAGCTCTCTGGAGACTTAGAGCAGTAGGAGGGATAAGATAGGAGGTGTATAACCCAGATTGGCATTTTTACCTAAATGCTTAGAGCTGAGCACGTGCTGGACGAGTGGCCAGGCTGAGCCCAACCTCTCAGGTTCTCAGTTGCTGGTGAGGAACTTGTTAAAGCATGGCTCTAGTGGGTTCCGTACACCCCACACTCTGAGACTGTTAACAAGATTGGAGACTGCCTTGACTTTCATTTGTTTTTCAGTAGGATGTGACCACCTGAAAAGAAAGGGCTTTGGGTGAGAAATGGCTTTGGATGAGAAATGAGGACACAAGGATCTTGTTTTGTACCATCTTACTTACTTTGTGAAGCTGGACTCTTGTTCTGTGCTGGTCCTCAGTTTCTATTGATGAGGGTACTGAAGTTGGGCCCTTCTAGCCCTACATGCAGCGATTATATATATGATTTGCAGCATGTGTGTGCTTAGAGGTGGTGGTCTCTCTGCTTAGCTTGGAGCTAGGTGTTCAAAAAGTCCCAGCTTAAAACCAAGCCAGTTAAGGCAGTTGGCCATACAGGGCTAGTGAGCATTACAGAGGGTCAGAGAGCTAGTGGGGTCAGAATAGCCTTCCTGGAGGACTGGCAATCCTTAGGAGATGGGGAATTTGAACTTGAAATCTGAAGGATAACACAGGAAATACAAGTTTGTGTGTGTTCATCCCATGACAGCCAGACCTGCATCTTTATTAGTATTTCCCTAACACTAAACATCTGTCCACAAGTGTGTGGACCATGGAAGGGAAATAAATTAACAAGTGTGTCTTGGGTTGGATTGTATTCCATACCTGGACTTCAGCCAGCTTGGTGTGGAGGGGCAAGCAGTTTGGTGGGTGAGGGTGGAAGACAAGGTCTTTGGAATGAGGCAAGAGAAGATGAGACGGTCCCTGCATGCCAGGCAGGAGTGTTTGGAATTCTGTAGGCAGTATAGAGCCATGAAGGCTCATGAGCAAAGATTGTCCAGCAGTCACTGTGTTCGAAAAAACAGGAGAAATGAATCTGAAATCTGGTCCAAGACTTAGGCTGGGCATTATGGCTTGTGATTTCAGTGATGTGACTTAATAAAATGACTCAAACGATGGGTGGTTCCCCTTCCAACTTGCCTGATCTGGGATTTTGAACAGAGTCCCTCAGTTCAAAGTTCTGAGCAACAGGTCCCTTCAGGAGCCAAGATGTATTCGGCTGTAGGTAGTAGAAAGCCAAGTAAAGTTTGTGAGCCCAGAATTCCCAGGCTAAATCTCAGCTCCTTCCTCCCTCCCTTGGTGACCTTGGAGAATGATACTTAATCAAGGAGAGTTGATAAGTATAAGGAGTGTTGTTCTTCTCCCAGCTGGAGATTGTCTGGGCACAATTAGGTGTATGGAAGAGAGCTAGGCAGGATGGCACACACCTTTAATCCTAGCACTGGAGACTGAGGCATGTGGATCTCCCATGAGTTCCAGGACAGCCTGGGCTACAATAGTGAGATCTTATCTCAAGCAAACAAACAAAAAGCAAACTAAAAAACAGAATCCCTATGGTAAGTAGGACAGACCTGGCTCTAGTCACAGACCTAATCATAGGCTAGGTAGAAAGGAACTGTTATCACTGGGCATGGTGACATACACCTTTAATCCCATCACTCCCACACCTGGCAGAAGCAGGTGGATCTCTGTTCCAGGACAGCCTGTCTACAAAAAAGAAACCCTCTTTCAAAAGCTGAAGATGGTTAATGCACATGATGAGGCTGGTGTCCTATCCCTTTTCACTTAAGCTGCAGCTCAGGAGTTTAGATGAATTGGACAGGTCACAGCAAGTAATCGTTAGTGCTGGTGCTGGAGCTAGGCTTAGCTGCCTCTGAATCTAGTGACTTCTCTGACATTTACCTGATGGGTCTCATGGCTACTGAATGTTGAGGGCTGGGGAGAAGTCAGCCTAGTCAATATAGCCCAGAACCAGGCTGAGCATAGGGAGTGCCAACTGTGCCTCTGTGTTGACTTGTGAGTTTTCCCAAGTGGCCACAAGGTGGTGCCAACAACCAGGCCAGGCTTCAGCGAGGCCTGAGTCCTCAGGGATCTGACTGAATTGTTTGGGTCTACCTTCTCTGGGTTTGCACCACAGATTTTGGAGACCTACCTTCCTTCTTTCCTTCCTTCCTTCCTTCCTTCCTTCCTTCCTTCCTTCCTTCCTTCCTTCTTTCCTTTTTAATCTCCTCAGAATCCTGAGGATTCTGGCAGGAATTATTGTCTGCCAAATACCATGGGAAGTTGGTTGAGGAAGAAGGGCTGCAGCAGCCACACAGTAACAGCAGAGTCGGTTGGATCCCAATGTCCATGACTTCCTATTGAGGTTCTTTCCATTCTTAGGGAGACCCACATACCTGAGCCTTAGTGTTTGAGAATGGTGGAGCATCTACCTGTATCCCCAGAGCAGAAGCGGGGTGGATCTTACCTGGGGAAGGGGTTTGGTTGGTTTTCTCGTGCTAGCCTTTCACTTTGAGGAACTTCACTGACTCTGAGAAGTAGTCGGTCCTGGCCAGGGGTCTGACCAGTACTCCATCTCTTTTCAGATGCCGCTCTGATGGAAGCTGCCCGTGCCAACAATGTGCAGGAAGTCAGAAGGTGAGTGTCTGGGCATTGCTGTCTTATACAGAAGGGCTGAGAAAACCTCTCCCAGGCCTGGACTTGTTTCCCAAGGGTTCATTGTAGCCACAGCAACAAGGCTCTCCTGGCCCAGATCAGACTTTACTATTTTAGGTATGGTTGAGGAACCCCAAATATCCCTAAATGTTTGGTGGCAATGGCTTGGAATCCGTGAACTCTGTGAATCTTCCAGTTTGTTCTTTTTCCTGTGGAAGTGACCATGTATTAATGTTTGCCACTTGGACCTGGTGTAGGTAAGCATTATTAGAGAAGCTTGAGGTTTAGGAGCTCTTTATGCCCAAGGGTCCTATGTAACTAAGAAGGCCTGCTTACAGGACTGAGACATGCTGGGCTCTGCCAGAGGCAGACCATAGTTTTTCAGCTTCATTGGCTCACGTAGCTCTCCTGTGTTTCTCAAATGGAGGGGGAGGGGGGTTAATTTCAGCACAGAGGCTGACCTGTAGAACAAGGAAGACTCATCTTGATCTGGGAAGCCTTGGGCTAGTACCATGGACATAGCAGAGTGTTCATCTAGAATGGATGCTGAGAATGGAACCCATCTAGAGAATCAGTTATAGGCTGTTGTTAGAGACAATATTCATCCCTCTTGCTTCAAATAGATCTAAGTGGCCATGGGACCATCTCCTCTTTTTTGTTGTTGTTGTTGTTGTTGTTTTTTGAGACAGGGTTTCTCTGTGTAGCTTTGGAGCCTGTCCTGGAACTTGCTCTGTAGACCAGACTGGCCTTGAACTCACAGAGATCTGCCTGCCTCTGCCTCCCGAATGCTGGGAGGATTAAAGGCCTTCGCCACCAACACCTGGCGACCCTCTCCTTTCTTACCTCACATTTTTAAAAATAATTTATTTAACTTTATTTTTTGTGCATTGGTGTGAAGATATGAGGTCCCCTGGAACTGAAGTTACAGACAGGTAACTAGAACTGGAATTACAGGCAGTGAGCAGCCATGTGGGTGCTGGGAATTGAACCAGGGTCCTCAGGAAGAGCAGCTGGTGCTGTTAACTGCTAAGCCATCTCCCTCCCCCCCCCTTTTTTTTCCTTCTGCCATGCTGGCTCTGAACAGGTCTTGTACATACTTGGCAATTGCTCTATTAATGAGCTCCTCTAGCCCTTGGTTTTGTAGTGTTTTCTTTTTTTTTTTTTTTTTCATATTTATTTTGTGACATTTTCTCTCCATGTATTTCTGGCTGTCCTGGAACTCACTTTGTAGACCAGGCTAATCTCAAACTTACAGAGTTCCTCTTGCCTGCCTCCCAAGTACCAGGATTAAAGGCATATGCCACCATGACTAGCCAACTTTATTTTCATTTTATGGGTATGGGCATTCTACCCATAGGTATTTCTATGTATCATGTCCATTCAGTGCTCTTGGCAAGTAGAGGGCATAGGATCTTCTAGAACTGGAGTAACAGAGGGTAGGGAGCTGATGTGTGGGTGCTGGGAATCGAACCCAGGTCCTCTGGAAGAGCAGCCAGTGCTCTCAACCTTGGAGCCATCTCACCAGCCCCATAGCCCTTGGTTTTTTTTGAGACTAGATTTTATGTAACCCAGGTTGGCTCTGAACTTTTAGTCCTCTTGCCTCGGCCTCCTAAGTGCTGGGATTATAGGTGTGGGCAACCATGCCTGGTGTTGTGTTCACATTTTAGATAGGAGGTCAGTGTTTGGGGTAGTTATCCCTGCATCCCTGGACCCTTTCCCCACTCCAACACATAAGGAAGTGTGAAAAGGCAGCCACAGCTCCACCAAGACTTACTGCTTCGATTCCCTTTCATTTTATCTGCGGCATTATTATTGATTCTCAAGGGTGCTTTTGAGTATTAATGTTCACGGCTTAGTTTTTAATAAAGCACTTTTGGAAGTATAGGCTGGGAGTTGTTTTGTAGCCAAATAAATATGATGGAGCAATAGTTTAATAAACATGTGATGATGCATCTTAAAAACTGAGCACAGATGTCATCTTGTTGTTATAAGGGCCATTCATAACTGCAGCTGCATGTGGCATCTTCATACCCCAGACACATGTCTTGCTTTCTAGAGCCTTATTATAGGGAAGCGAGGAGTAGAAACTGGCTTACTGACTCCGGACTATTGGTAACTGCAGCTTCCCACCCCAAAGTCCAGTGTAGACAGTAGGTTTGCAATCTGAGGGGGCTGACTCTAGCTTATTTTAGCAAGACCCACTCTAAGGGTTGATAATTTTGGCTCTGAAATTTATGAGGTTTTTTTTTTAGTTTGAGTATTTTGAGGCAAGATTTCATGTATTCAGGATGGCCTCAAACTCACTATAAAGCCAAGGATGACCTTTAACTTCTGATCCTTCTGCTTCTGCCTTCTGAATGATGTGATTCCAAGTGTGCACCACCATGATCTATTTTATGTGGTGCTTTGGATCGAACCTAGGACTTTGTGCTTGCTGGGAAGGCACCTACCAGCTCGGGTTTGTTGTTGTCTGATTTGGGGTTTGGGTTTTTTGTTGTTGTTGTTTATTTGTTTGTTTTTGAGATATTTCTTCCTATTTGGTCCAGAAAGGGATCTAAAACTCATGACCTTCCTGTCTTAGCCTCCTAAGTGTGTGATTACAGGCAGACACTATCATGCCTGCAAATACACTCCCTCCCTCCCTCTCTCCCTCCTCCCTCCTTCCTTCTGCCCCTGCTTCCCTAGTACTGGGATTCTACATGCACACACCTTGTTAGATACATTTTTATTTTTTAAGATTTTTTTTTTAAATTATATGTATGTGAAGGGGAAAAAAGGTATGCCTCTGTGTGTGCAGGTGCTCACGGAAGCCAGAAGAGGGTGTCAGGTCCCCTGATGCTGGAGTTAGACAGTTGTGAACAACCTGAAGAACATTGTGTGCTTTTCACCACTGAGTTCTCTCTCCTTCCCTAAATACATATTTTTGTAATGACAATTAAATACCTACCAGCTCTGGACTGTGGTCCTGTCTACTCCTTTATGAGAATCTGGCTAATTGTGTATAGGGTGGCTGCTTGATCAAAAGGACAAGCCAGGACCTACCATTGCCACACATTATTCTTTCCTTTTACATTTTACTTATTAATTTTGTGTGCATGTATTTGGGCGCACTGGTGTCTCAGCATATATGTGGAGGTTAGAAGATTACCAGTGGGAGTTAGTTCTTTCCTTCTCCGTGTGGATCAGGGATTAAAGTCAGGTCCTCAGACTTGGTGGCAGACATTTTTACCTGCTGAGCCATCTCACTGGTTTCATGTTATTTGTATTAAGGAGTTTGAGCTGGTCATACTGACTCAAGCCTGTAATCTTAGCATTTAGGATGAGGCAGGAAGCTCTCCAGCTTAAGACCAATTTATACTACTCAGTGAGTTAGAGGTCAGCAAGACTGACTCAAAACCAAATAAAACAACAAAAGCAAACAAACACCAAAACAACAAAAGTTTGTGAGCTACCCTTCACCTTGAGTCATTCAATTGTATGCCTCCCCAGGGGCAAGAACAGAAATCTGCTGTTCCTCTCTCTCTCACCTGTTCCTATTCCCCAGCAAGCACAGTGACTGACTGGAATACAGCAGAAGCAGGCAGTCCAGAGGCCGGTCTGTTCCAGTCTCCCACTGGCACACAGGAAGGCTGGGCTCTTGCATCCTTTCCATTTCCTCCTGTCTCCTTGAAGCACTTAAACTTTGTAAGGTCACCCAACTCCCACTGGAGCAGGAGGCCGGCCCCTGCCCTGCTTGGCAGCTGTGAGAGCAGGTGACCCCCCCTCCAAGCCTGGCTTCTACACTGAGCCACTCACCCAAGACCAAGGGCACTGGACAGGCTGCAGCACATCTGTCTGGGCTCAGGCAGGGCCATGTGGGGCCTGTCAGGCTAGGGACAGGATTGAGAAACCTGTTCTCTGCTAGAGATCATGTTTCCTTCAGATCACACCGTTGATAGACATCATCCTGCCTCTCTTTTCCCTTCACTGAACTGAGAGCCATTTAGTCCTTCATCAACCCAAACAGTCTCAGATGAAGAGAGCCTGGTAGCAAAAACTTTGGACCTCTAATGACTGGCTGCTCTTTCTTTTCACAGTTCCTGTGTTCATTTGATAAACACTTACTGAGTACTTGCCATTTTCTGGGTCCTTTGTTTGGCACAGGCATGACTCCTTCCTTAGCTGGGTATGGCTGCTACCACTTTTAATCCCAGAACTCTAAGGCAAGAGGTTGGTGAATTTGAGACCAACCTGGCCTACAGAGGGAGGACCCTGTGTTGAAAGGGAGAAGCAGTAGCTATGGCTGGACTCTAGAGAGCAAGGACAGGTGCTTTGAAATGACATTGGATAGTTTTAAGGGAGGACCATACATACCACATTGGACTTTTAAAGCCAGTGTATATATAAGAGGGAAAAATGCATACAGACATGTTTGTAGATTATAATTTTTAAAGTTTTTAGTGCTTAGTGGGAAACATGTTGGTCTACAGCTATAGTAGTATGGGAAGACTGGCTAACACATGGCTGTAAGCTGAATATAAGTCATTGGCAGAGCACTTGCCCAGCTTCTGTAAACTGGGTTCAATCCCTGCACCAAAAAAAAAAAAAAAAGAAAGAAAAAGAAAAGAAAAGCTACTGAGAGAGTCCAAACTGACGGTATGTGTGGGGTTGGGCTAAGATGTTAGTGGCACAGATGGGGAGAGTTAGCTGGACTAGCCTGTAAGGGTTAGATCAATCAGTGCTCATGCCTGATTCAGAGTCTGATACACAGTAAATATTCAACAGATAAATGCCGAATGAATGAAGAGGACTAGGTATGTTTAATTTAGAAAGGAAATGCTAGTGGATTTCCATTTTTCTGGTTGGAGCTCATGTGTTGCCACATGATTTGGAGGAACTGAGTTGTAAAAAAAAATTGAAGTGTGCCCCCCCTCCCCGGTGTGTGTGTGTGTGTGTGTGTGTGTGTGTGTGTGTGTGTGTGTGTGTGTGTGTGTGTGTTGTTT